TGTTCCTACGAACCCTTCATACGAACAAAAGTAAGAGAAATTTAGGATAAGAATACAAACATGTTCTTGCATGAGGCCCAATGAACTTCCCTCATTTTGTATTTTAAAGTACTTCCATACTGCAGATGTAATGAATTGGTACAYCACAACACCGACCAGCTATAAAGCTGCCACGTGGCAGCTAACTTGTGGTGTAGATAATATAAAACTGTAGATCAACAACAGAGATTAAGAGAAGAGTACATCAGCTACTTCAGTACTGATCAATGAAAAATGTCTTTATTGGAGCTCCAATCCAATACTTGCAATCAGTTTGAGAGATCCCCACTCCAGACCCAACATTGTTTTACAGTTCTTCCTAAATTTATTCTACGATGAACAAAAGTAACACACTGTGACTCTGGCTTTCATAAAAACAATATCAAAGCTTCGCATTTTATGAAGGAACTTTTCTATCTCAATGGATCAATGGATGTGACGTCAAAAAAAATGATAATTTTAATTCAACGAATTTGGTCGACTGCTTTTTAGAGTTTTCTTCTTATTACTCATCTATTTTCTGTCGCAGCTTTTTTTTTCTCCTCGCAGTTTTAGCAAACGTACCCTTGTTGGTAGATGTACTGTAKCATTGAGAACACCATATGTGCTTTATTATTTAGATAAAAACAAATTATTATGGTGCCATTATGCATAACTAACGTTGGATAAACATTTTGGCATTGGCTTGATTTTAAGAAAAAAAATGTTTTAATCAAACTCACAAACTTCCTTTTTTCTTTTTGAAATTCACAATTCAAAACATATATTTTTAAATGTACTGTATTCAGTTCGACTTTAATGCAGAACATGTAGGACAGCAGAAATGACTGTGGGCACATGCAGCAACTTTGGGTTCTTATTGTAGTTTCTTCACTGGACTGGTCTCCAAACAGTTTCCATGATTAAAAAGCTGTAGAGCTGGTGAACATCTACATGTCCATCAGTGTCAGCCTTTCCTATATGATTGGCCTTGAGAAGGTCCTTGATTAATCCAGAGTGCACYTTGTGTAGTCTGCCCACTATAATCAAGACATGCAGGAAAAATAGGTGACAAAAATCTCAAACTATACTAAAAATTAAGTCCTTCACATGCTCATTTTAATCTCTCCTCCACTCAGCCAAGGCCATGGTTCATCAGCAAGTGCCTCTATTAACACTTTTTTACTAAGTGCTCTTCTCCAAGTTAAAGTTGAATTAAGTGCAGGTGTATCCACTGTAGAAGTCCCACTTGACACAAAGGATTATGTTTCCTGTTTGACACCTGGTGGGATGGGGGGACTTTTACAGTCATACCACTGCCACTGTTGGACCACCCAACTTTTTAAAAACAACATTAATGAGCAGGGCTGAGGCTCCCAAAGCATCTTGGCACTCAGATCTTTTTTCCATGTATCAGTCTGAGATAGAAACTTTTGCTATCTTGGTTCCAAAATGCCTTTGGACAGTCTGGTCCACGACTGTTTGACACTTCTCCTCAACTGCATGATCTCTACTACCACACCACCGCTCCTACCATCCAGCAGATCCTCACCTTTTTTTGCAGGAAACAAGACCTTTTTTTGTTCTTCCTGAACACCTCCCTCCCACCATCACCACCGCCATATTTGAACAACTTAGTGCCAAATACATGGAATGACTGGCGAGCATGACCCTCTGAATGCTCATGCATGCTTGACTATGAAAGTCCTAACAGCAATGCTGCACATGATGATGCTACAATGATATTGATGTTACCAATGAAAGTGATGTTGATGCTAATTGATGACTGTAACAAAGAATTCTTGTTTTTTATTTATTTGAAATTATAGATCTAGTATTAAGAACAGTTTCATTTTTTAAAATCATGTTCCCTGGAGTAAATGGACCATACTTATATAGTGTCTTTCTATCCAACTGGGATACTCAAAACCCTTTACACTACAGTATGGGCCCTCATTTACCCGTTCACATACACATTCATTCAGCACTCTACTATGTCTCTACAAAGCTAATCTGATTAAAATCATTCTCTGGAGACTAATCAGTGCTTTGGATCAAATTCATACACMAATGGGACACATTGCAGAGGGTTCAGGGTCTTGCCCGGGGACTGTTGGACATGTGACTGAATAGTGGTGGAATCGTACCGCCAACTCTCTCACTGGAGGACGACTGCTCTAACCATTCAGCCTCACAGCCAGTCTACCTGCTGTGGTAAGCTCTAAAATGATATCAGCTTAGCAAATCAGAGGTAAATTCTTCAAGAGAAGTCAAGCTAATGACACGTCAGACTACTTCAGAATAGATTTCAGTCATTTAAACACCTCAAACAACAAAAAYGTTCACAACCATTTAAATGAATGTTGTACTGTAAACTTGTATTTTGTTTCATTTTTGCTTTTAAAATTTAGAAATGGATGCAAGGTGTAATGATATACACTCTAAAAATGAAATGTTGGATTTACTTAACCATGTTATGTTACCTGGTTCCACTTAACTGAGTTGAGTAAATTCAAAGCAACATATTCATGTTCTTTGGCTAAAAAACTGGTATATTGCTTAGAATTTACTCAACTCAGTTAAGTGGAACCAGGTAACATAACATGGTTAAGTAAATCCAACATTTCATTTTTTACAGTGTATGTTCTAATATTGAACCATAATAGCACAAATATCAAGGTTCATTAATTCATTAATCAGTTGAAGAATACATTAGTGACAGGAAGCATGTCTTTTTATCCACCTTCTGCTAACTGCCACAAAAGAAAAGCAGCATAAAAAATTCTGAAATACTCTAAACCAAAGTATGGTTATCTAAATAAATAAATAAATAAATAAATAAATAAATAAATAAATAAATAAATAAATAAATAAATAAATAAATAAATAAATAAAAAAGGTCCTCTGGATGGGTTCTTCTTTAATGAAAAGTTTCGTCTCTCCTCCAAGAGACTTCTTCAGCCTGATGAGTTTTCAGGTGAACTCAGCCTTATAAGCACTGCCTCCACATGGTGAACAGTCCAGACTGTTTGTTCACATGCGAAGGAGGACCCTCAGTCTGACAAGAGATCGTTAGACCCCTGAATGAAGACAGAAGCTTAAAGACCTTCCTGTTTGTTATAAATCATCAGTTTGGAAATGTTTGGTGTTTCTGATGGCAGCAGTGAAGAGAGCAAGAGTAAACTCAAGTGTTGGAATAGAATAGAATAGAATAGAATAGAATAGAATAGAATAGAATAGAATAGAATAGAATCAGCCTCTATTGTCCTGCTTGGGGAAATTCAGGTGTAGTAGCAGTACATACATCAATCCACAGAAGCAGTATATTGCTATGTGGCATTATCAATTGGAGCAATAATAGTAGTATAAATTAAAGACAATAACAGTAAAGATTAAAAGAACAAAATAAAAGTAAGAATAATCATTACTGTACTGCTATTGAGATGAAATTGGATAAAATGACAATAAGGCAAGATACTGCACAGAAAAATATAAATTACAGGAAAAAAACAGTCGTGACAGACTCGTGATCCGAGGGGTGTGTGCAAAGTGAGTCATACTCAGTCTGTGCAAGTTGAGTCTAACTCAGTCATTAAGTCCAAAACAGGAAAAAACAATGTACAGTTGTCACAGGGTATTATTTATGTAATGATTGAGAGGTAGAGTTATTTGATGTGCAAACACAAACATGGATACTTGTGAAGATTTTTAGGAGCAGTGATGGTTAGTGGTATGGTGGTAGTCTCTGCAGTRGTTAGATGATAGTCTAACAGCTGATGGGAGGAGTGATCTAAATAAAATATAAATAAAAGGAATATAAGGAATGCCAAATGGATCAGAATTTGTGTGCTTTGAAATATCGCTTGGTGTCTCATAAAAGCACCATCTATGTATAAACAGCACACTAGCACTCAGCTAGAACGTAACGTTTGAGTTGTTTTAGAAACCCAAATTCTGCCTAGAATAGACTGCAGTCTGGTTAGCTGTAAACTTAACCTGATGAGAATTTCTTTTTACAACGAAAGGGAAAGGAGGAAGTTTGCTAAACAAAACTGGCAATTGCTTGAAAACAGCACCACAAGATAYAACTGACAAATTTAAAAGAGAGGACAAATAAAGGAGTGTCACTGGAAGCAGGAAACTGGGTTAGGACACATGCGCAGACAAACATTTTTGAAGCTGTAAGTAAGGTTGATGTGTAAATAAGTACATCATGTTACTGCGCGTGCACAGCTTGGTGTCCTTGTTTTTACATGGCTCCACGTAGTGGTGCAGCCCTCTGCTGCCCTGTCCCCGCACCCCTCCCCACTTTGGATCTGCTGCAGTTTCTCTGCAGTACCACCTTTCCTGCAGAGCTCTGTGCTAAATTAGCCTTTATTCTGCACTGGCGGCTCAGAACATCACTGCTTGCTAAGCCGCCTCTTCCACAGGGAACTCGCTCACATGTAGGTCAGCCATATCAGTGGCATGGCAGCCTGCTGGGATGCTGACTCAAACCGACTGCACAAACAGAAGCATATTTGATTTTTTATGTTTTCATTTGAATTACACAGTTTTGATGCTCAATGTATTAACCTAATCCCTTCAGCATATGTAGTGTCTACCAGAATGACTCTAGGATTTTTGTTTTTATTTATTTTATGATCTGGTACATAGTTTTTGCTCAATTGTTTGAAGAATTAAAACAAAACATTCATTTTTACCATGAGATTTGTGATATTCAGAGACTAATTCATTTATTTTACTTCAGAAATGGGAAACCTAGAGATGTACATTATATTCAGAGACAACAGGAAAGCAAATATTAGATGAAAATTATGTAGGAGAGAAAAATATAATAAAGGCGTGGAAAAAAATATCAAGTGAGACCAAAATCAAACCATAAAGAAAAAAGAAAAGAGATATAAAGCAGGGATTCGGATGTGGGATGTGTGTGTGTTTACAACTCTGCTGTGTGTCAGCAGGGATAGGGAGCTAAGCAAAACCTTGCCTCATTTCATTTCTGTTAATAAAAGCAGTGTAGGAGACTGAGCCTTCACCAACGCTGATACAGCCAGAATCCATCCACACAGCACTGAGGATACTGACTCAGTTAATGACACTTTCCTATGTAAAGAAAACAAGACAAAGATGTGCTGAATGGATAAAGATGGAAATTGTATATATATGTGAACAAAAACCAAGGCTTGTACTGTGAGAGTAAACGTGTCATACCATGAAAATTGTCTTAAGTAACATAAAGTATTAGCCTGGCCCTTGCCTTCCTACGCAGCTCCGCTCAATTCTAGTTTCCTTCACTGCTCCGTCTGGGACTTCTCCCATTGAGATGGATTTCACTGGCAGATTTTTAGCCGGACCAATCAGAGAAGAGAACGTCGATTTTCTGAGCAGTGTCTGCTTGTAATTTATTTTACCTAGGCCAATCAGAGAACAGAAGGAGGAGTTTTGAACGACGTTGACTTTCTACGCAGTGTCTGCT